TGTGATATTCTCTCAAATCACTTCCGTCCTACGGTTTAGCTCGTAAATCAGCTGATTTTGAGTCCTCAAAGCATGAACCAAACCTTCACAAGCAGGCAGCCTGACAAGGGCCAAATTAGCTGCAGCTGTCTTCTTGTATGTTGATAGACCAGGAACTAGCCGATTCCAAAAAGCAGGAAACCTGTTATCATAAATCTGATTGTATATGTCTTCGGCGTCCTCCTGAGATTCTCAGCGGAACATGAGAGCTCTCCAGGACCCTGTCGTTTTGTTGAAAAGATTTTGTCGATTGTGTTGAAAGTCCAGTTGGTCAGACCAATAACAGTAGTTTTAATTTTGGAAGATGTGTAAAATAGGAGCTCCGATACACAGAAAAAGAGCAAAAAAGCAGGAGGAGAACAGGAGAGGGAAGAGAATGTGTCCGCCTCAAACTGCAAGTGAGGGAAAAAAAAAAGTTCTGCTTGGCTTAAGCGACCATTTTAATTTATGCAGTATTTCAAAATGCTTCGTTCAATATACACACACAACACCCCCCCCCCCCCCACCCACCCCCCCCCACCCCACCCCCCCCCACACATTTGTCTGTGAGAAATGTGGATATTTTTAGCTGTCCTTTACATCTGATTTTTACAACATGATTTTTCCAAGATGGCGCCGGTGTGTAGGGCTGCCCGTCTCTCGCTCTCTGCTTGTATTTTATTTTTGTTATTTTTACAATGGTTTGTGCAGTGTGCCGAGTCATATTTTCAGTATGATCGTCGGGCACTTTTGGAGCTCCGTACATTTGCTGAAATTCCCGCGGAGTTTTTGAACAGCGGCCATCACTCTCCCCCACCGGTCCTATCTGAGATTCCTGCGTTCCTTCTGCGTGACCCTGGCCTTTCTCCATGGAGGAAACGTCGCAGACGTCGTGGGAAGCGTGCAGGGATTTTGGTGAAACTGAGGCAAAGTGTGGATTATTCTAACAGGACTCGCTCTGGATCTGATCATCTCCTCTCTGACCCGTGGTGCTCCCGGGGCCCGGCTGCTGGCCAGCTGCCCGCGCGCTCAGTCCATGGAAACACCTGGAGTTGTTTACCTGTGCGCCGCACCAGCAGACCAGGAGGAGCTGTTCTTCATAACCTGCGCCCGCTGGCGCGCACGTCTCCCTCCACGGCTGTGCCTGTGTCGGACAATATCAGGATGTGTTTAATCAACGCAAGGTCTGTTTCCAACAAGACGTTTATCCTCAATGACTTTTTTAAAGATGAGGAGTTGGATTTTCTGTTCGTCACAGAATCTTGGATTTCTGATGGTGAGTCCAGCGCCCTGGTGGAACTACTTCCTCCGGACTGTGTATGTTGCAATGCCCCGCGGCCATCAGGTCGGCGCGGGGGCGGATTATTAACTGTTTTTAAAGCAAACTTTGCATGTAAACAGTTGTCCATCCCGGTGTCCCGCGCCAGCTTCGAGCTGAGCGCCTTTGAACTTGGACACTCTCCTCCGGTCCTGTGTGCGCTCATCTACCGCCCACCTCGTTCTAAGGACTTCATAAATGAATTCTCTGACTTTTTGGCTGATATCACTCAGAGATACACTCACTTTTTGTTTATTGGTGACTTTAATTTGCATGTGTGTTGTCAGGAGAAGCCCTTAGTGAAGGACTTTCTGGATTTATTGGACTCTTTTGGCTTAGCTCAGCAGGTGAGCGGCCCCACCCAAGAACATGGTCACACGCTGGACCTCGTTTTAACACGTGATGTCTCTGTTTCTAATTTGAAAATCGGTGACAATGTTTTTTCAGATCACATGCCTGTATTGTTTGACTTCACCCCCCCTTGTCATACTGCTAAGACGTGCGTTCCTGCACGTACGCGTTCCATTAACCATTTCACTGCTGCTTGTTTTAATGAAGGTTTTAATTCTGAGAGGATCGAACAGCTCTCGGTGTCTCTTACCACTGAGGAGCTAACCTCTCAGTTCAACTCTGCCTGTTTAAATGTTCTGGACCGTGTTGCTCCCCTTAAGACCAGAAAAACAAAACTTAAATCAGAGCCTTGGCTGAATGACGTCACGCGAGCCGTTAGGAGGCAGTGTCGCAAAGCTGAACGAAAGTGGAGGAAGGACAGGCTCCAGGTGTCTTTTCAAATGTTAAGGGAGAGTTGGCGTCACTATCAGAAAACCGTTAAAGCTGCCAAATGTAAATTCTTTTCTGATTTAATTGTCTCCAATTCCCACAACCCCCGAGTTCTTTTCTCCACCCTGAACTCAGTTCTACACCTCAGTGAGCCTTCACCTCTGGAAGCCTCAACTGAGCTGTGTGAGAACTTCCTCCATTTCTTTTTAGAAAAAGTGGCAAACACCCGGGCACTCATTTCTCCACCAGCTCATGATCTGTCCATCCCTTCTCAGTGTGTGGCTGTGTTTGACCACTTTGAGCCCATCTCTCTGTCCTCTCTGGAGCAGGTATTGTGCAGCATGAAGCCATCTGGTTCCCCCTTTGATGTGGTTCCCCCTCGACTACTAAAGGAAGTTTTTCCTACCCTGGGTCCTTTTATCCTCACTATTCTGAATAGCAGTTTATCCTCAGGTGTGGTGCCAAAGACTTTTAAACATGCTGCTGTCCAGCCCCTCCTGAAAAAACCTAACCTTTACCCCTCAGTCATGTCCAACTTCCGGCCTGTCTCCAGACTCCCATTCACCTCTAAACTACTGGAAAAAATTGTGGAGTCTCAGTTGAAACAGTTTTTGGGGGATCACGCTATCCTTGAGTTATTCCAATCTGGCTTCAAATCTCTCCATAGCACTGAAACTGCTCTACTGAAGGTTTTTAATGACATTTTCATATCCACAGACGCAGGTGATTCTGTGCTGCTTGTCCTATTGGACCTTACATCTGCTTTTGACACCATCGACCACAATATCCTCATTTCTAGACTGGAGCAGTGGGTGGGCATCACAGGGTCAGCCCTTAAATGGTTTGGGTCCTACCTCTCTGACAGAACCTTCTGTGTCAATATCAAAGATTTTAGTTCGGCATCGACCGCACTCCAGTGGGGGGTACCGCAGGGGTCCATCCTCGGTCCCCTTCTCTTTTCTTTATACCTGCTGCCACTAGGTGCTATCTTCCGCAAACACGACATACCCTTTCATTTCTATGCCGATGATTGCCAAATTTACTTCCCCCTGAGGCACAGAGGCACACGCTCTATTCAGCCTCTTCTTGACTGCCTGGCTGACATCCGGGACTGGATGGCTTTAAACTTCTTAAGCTTCAATGAGAAGAAGTCTGAAGTCATGCTGTTCCATCCCAGTGGCTCACTCATTAACCATGACATTGACCTTTTCTCTCTAGCCCCGCTAGAGAAACAAAAGGTGACTAATCTGGGGGTGATAATGGACCCGTCCTTAAAACTCAACAGTCACGTAAACATGATGGTCAAATCCTGTTTTTTTCAGCTGAGACGGCTGTCTAAGCTGAAGCCTATACTCAACAAAAAGAACCTCGAGACAGTGATCCACGCCTTCATAACATCTAGGCTTGATTACTGCAATTCACTTCTGTTTGGAATCAGTCAGTCCTCCATTGCTCGTCTACAACTGGTCCAAAATGCTGCAGCCCGATTTTTAACTGGCACAGGCTATAGAGAGCACATCACGCCAGTTTTGGCCTCCCTGCACTGGCTACCCATTCACCTTCGGATCCATTTCAAAATTCTCATGTACGTTTTTAAATCACTGAACAGTTCCGCCCCATCCTATCTCACTGATCTTCTGCAGCCATATGTCCCACCGCGCTCTCTGAGGTCAGCAGACCAGATGCTTCTCTCAGTCCCAGAAACCCGTCGTAAGCTCAGAGGTGACAGGGCTTTCTCTGTTGCAGGTCCACGACTGTGGAATGAGTTGCCACTGAGTGTCCGGCAGGCTCCCACACTCTCAGTCTTTAAGTCTCGCTTGAAGACCCACTTCTATTCGTTTGCCTTTAACATGGTGTGATTTGTTTTGGTCCGGTCTGTTCTCTACTCTGTTGGCCATTTTAGTTAGCTTCTGCTGCTATTTGTATCTGTATTTCTATTTTATGTTTTCCTGTTCGCTGTGCATGTTTGTGTTTCTTTTGTACAGCACTTTGGTTGGCCTTGTTGCTGTTTTAAGTGCTATATAAATAAATTGGTATGGTATGGTATGGTATCTGCAATGTTGCCTTCAGGTAGTCTGACAACTTTAGTTGTGACTACCTCTCAAGGATACCATTCAATCACATTTATCCGATCCAAATCGCATCCTGTTGTCCTTGCTGTACAGTATATCCTAATGAGGTGAGCTACTGCAGAAAAATGGCATCAATGAACAGCCTACAAAGAGGTCAGTCACAACCAAGTACCTACAGAGAGAAAGACAGACTCTAAAGAGCCAGCTGATTGGCAAGAACAAAGTCTAAGCCATCAACACATGTGCAGTGCCAGCCATCAGGTACCCCACTGGTATAATAGCCTGGCCAAAGGAAACTATAGAAACCACTGATATCAAGACAAAAGTGCTCCTTATACAGCATTGTGTTTGTCCCAAAGTCCAGCACCATAAGACTGTCTGCTAAAAACAGGAGGGAGGCAAAGAACTAGTTATCGTCAGACGCTGTACAAGATGAAAAAAAACAACAACAAAAAAACAAATGAAATCAAATCTTGTTTTGTTTATTTCAGCTCTTGAAGTGATTCTGAGGCTGATTTTTTTTAACCTCAGCAGAGTATTTGCAATATTCAAAAGCTATACTTCTTAGTATATAAACTTTACATTTGTATTTATATAAATATAGGAGTGCTTGCCAAACAAAAAAAAAAAAAGAGAAATAAAATTAAATATACATTTCCACATCAATGTGTTAGATTCTCCCATTGGCTTGCAGCAGTCTTGTTAAAAATAATAATAATAAAATAAAACTCAAATATTGACTTTACCTGGAATATATAAACAAGCATGTATTATTGCTGCTAAATTATAAATATAAAATGTATATTTCCAACCTGTAGGTTGCCTTTAATGCTGTCCAGCTCCTTTGATGTTTTTGAGAGCTGATGCAAGATGCTGCTTCGTTCACTGAAGACTTCTTTTAGCTTCTTCTCCAGACCATCGTAGCTTTGTCTGTTAAGAGAGGAGAGATTTCTTTATTATTTATTAATGTATGAAAATAACTGAGAAAATACAAAGAAAGAAAACAAGAAGATTTTATTTGAATATATTCAGATGTTAAATGACATAAAGTTAATATAGGGAATTATATTTCTCTTATTTAGTCTTCTTTTTAAAGGTTTGTTAACCAATTGATTATAAAGTCCATCTAGTATGGCAAAAAATGTATTTGCAATCCATCACTAAGTTTCTACAGCGGCCCATCATTTCATTAAATGTTTTCTCCATCCATAAAAAAAAGGTTTTGATTTGTCTTTTAAATTAAATTATAAAATACCCATAAAAGGACTACGAGCAGAAAAAATGTGCTTAGGGCGAATAAACACAAAATGGATATCAGTGCAGGTTTTCAGCCATCCTAAGGTAATCTTAATTGTTTGAACAAAAGTCAACTCGACTTCTCTGAGTGTTTTTGAACCTAGAATAAAACATCTGTTTGAGGAAAAGTTCAGTTGCTTTCTTTTCAAGCACTTAAAGCATACAGAGAGATGAAAAAACAGTGCAATATGCTGAACTTTTATGTTTATGGGCCTAGAGTTAAAAAAAAAAAAACATTTTGTTTTAATAAATATATTATTACTGGTAAAAATGAAGAATGAACTGATAAGTTATTCTCTGTGCAGCTTAAAACTAACTAAAAACGTCATTGTTTATTTTTTGTGAATGGAAACTTTTTTTTCACATTGCACATTGACTGAATGTACAAGCTGTATGTAACAGGACGAAAAAAAATGCACACACTTGTTCAGTGTGCTAATTTTCTATGGAACTTATTCTTTTTTCGTACAATTTATCTGATCATATCTGTTTTACTAAGAAAAAAACGACAACTAAAAAGCTCTCAGATGAAGCCTTCTGTATAGCGTCACTACATTTGTCTCAAGCCATGGATTAGTTTCATCCTGGGCTTTCTTCCAAAAACCCTGCACACCCCATGTCATAGATCCTTGCTGCAGATCATACACAATAACACATAAATCACTAAAAGAAAAGCAACACCTGGGAAATAAATAAATAACACAGCATACTGAATCCCACACTCCACTTGCTACCATATGGCATTGGCGGGAAATTTATTACAGGTTCAAGCAACGAGGGAAGATGGGGTGAGCGAATCCTCCCAGTCTGTGGTATTATTCATTGCCCAATGGAATAGGCCCATGGGTATCTATGGAATGAATAGGACCCATAATTTGAGCATCGCTGGCACAGAAACACGCACATCACAAGGTTCTTAGTCTTTCCTTTGCCTACCTTATCCACTGCAACTTGCTCATTTAAGCAAACAAACAGTACCAGCTGCATGATGTGATCACGCTTTTCAAATAGTTCAGTATTCTACCAAGCTTCTTCCAAACAAAGAATCTTTCTCTGAGACAGTGATGTCAATATGGTAAATGACAACCAAACAGCTTCACAAAAATTTAAAAAGAAGCTTCTAATTAGAAATGGCACAACCAGGCACATGACCATACAGCAGCAGTGACGGAAAAATACTTTTACTAGGCGTCTGCAGAACAAAACAAGTCCCATGCTCTTGATAAAACTCATCAAATTCCCTGGACTGAGGAGGAGGTGTCATTTATTAGAGCGGATTACAGAGGACAAATATTTTCTCCCTTTGGAGTCACAGTAGGTTTCTGGGTTATATGAGGCTGACCCTGTTGGAAGAAATAGAACTGCTGAGGCCAAAGAAAACACCACAGAATAAAACAGCCAGGGTACGAGTAATGTCTCAATAAAGAAAGCCGAAGATTTCTTTGTAAAAGCTGCAGCAACTCCTCTGTTGATAAGAGCCAAACTGTAAATAATTGCAAAATGCACTTCCAATACTTCCAAACACATATTATAGGAATCTAAATAAAAACAAAAACAGCTGGCTTTATAATAACCCACAACTATATTTTATTTTACATAATTAAAAATCATTGTTTCTTAAAAAACAAATTACACACAAAAAATAAAACAACCTTAGACAGTTTAGCCAAATCCCATATTTTCCGGACTATAAATCGATCTTTTTTTCATAGTTTGGCCAGTCCTGCGATGTATATTCCGAAGCGACTTATAAACGTGCTTCTTTTTCCCTATTCATATCACAATTTTTGACAGATGTGTTAAATGTTCATTTTTACTGTCATAAACCAAAGAGTAAACATTATCATTTGCAGCCACAAGAGGACCCTCTATGCTTTTGACAACTATATATTGTTCCTCTACTGCTAACCCTCCCACCCCCAAAACATTCACTTAGAGACAGCTGAGAAAAACTTAACACAAGTAAAATGCCCCCAAACAGAAAATCTTCCTGTGTGGCATTTGCGGTGGGGGTGCTGTGTGTGTGGGGGGGTGCATAGGTGGCGTGCTGGGGCGTCTCCGGGCCTATGGTGCGGAGCTCTTGATGTGAGAGCCGGCCCTCCTCAGCTGCGGCTCCCTGCTGCTCTGCCCCTTGGGCTGGGGCCGGCCTGTGGTCGCTGTCAGGTAGATGGTGCATGCGGTCGGCCCGACAGAGATTCTGTCGGGCTATCTGTCTGTGCCTGTTGGTTGCTCAGGTTGGGTTTTTGTTGGTCCCCCCTCTCTTGGATCAATTTGGGCCCCACGTTTGGTGTGGGGCCCACTCCCCCCGGTCGTGCTCCCCTTTGGCGGGGGACCCCCTTGCCGCCGGTGCATTGGTGGCTCTCGGTGTCTGGGCTGGGTGGTGGGGTGCACGTCGGTCCGCCCTGGTTGCTGCCTGGCGGGGCCTGGGTGCCCTGGCTCTGTCGGGGCTCTGCTGGGGGGTGGTATGGCCTCGGGGCTCGGTGTCCATGGCCGGATCTACTGGGGGGGGGGGCATGGGTCGCCGGCCGGACCTGTGGGCTCGTCGCTGCAGCTTCCTGGAGGCTCTGCATTGTGGTGGCTGGGGTTACCCGTTTTTTTCCTCTGCTCCTCTCTGGGGGGGTGCGGTTCTCCCTGTTGGGAGACTCCTGGGGCTCCGGGCCTGTGGGCCGCTGTGTGTCTGTGGCTCCGGTCCTCCCTATGTTGCCATTGTGTCCTGGGGGGGTGGGTCTGTGGGTCCCCGCGTCCACTATTGGGCATTCTTTTGGAGAAATCTGGTGGTGGCGGGTGTGCTTGCGCAGGTGTTTGGATTCAGGTGCTTTGACAGATGCACGCTAGGTTGGGTAGTGGTGGAAGCTGGATGATTCCTTGTGCGATGTCGAATGTTTCATGGTGATATTGTGGGTGGCATTGTGCTGTGCATGTTGTTTTGTCGTGATGGTCTCTCATCTTATCTATTTCTCTTTTCCAAAAAAGTTCAATCTGGTCCTCTGGACATTCAAAAAAACAGAAAACAAAACAAAGCAAAAAAATCTAGAAACGTTTCGTCTCTCATCCAAGAGACTTCCTCAGTCTGAGGTGCTGTTTTCAGCTCAGTCTCTTAAATAACACCTTCTCAGAGTGGATCAACCAGTTTGCTGCTGACAACCAAAACCAGCTGATCACATGCTCAAGAAGGACCATCAGCCTAACAATGGGTCATTAGCACACTGATGGCTGTTTACTACTCACAGAGGGCTGAGTGATACTAGCAATCACAGCATTGTAAGAGGGGGACAGTTGAACCCGGAGGCCTCCACCCCGGTTCAACTGTCAGTGATGGTCTCCTTTACTCCTCTCTCAAACCATCGTTCCTCTATCCAGGATGTGAACATCTTCTTCCCTGAAAGAGTGACCGCCGGCCTGGAGATGAGTGTAGATCGCAGAGTCCTGGCCTGATGGTGTTGATCTTCTGTGTTGGGCCATCCTTTTGGCCAGTGGCTGTTTAGTTTCCCCGATGTAAGACTGATCACAGCCCTCCTGACACTGAACAGCATACACAATATTACTCTGTTTGTGCTGGGGGACTGGATCTTTGGGATGAACCAGTGTTTGCCGTAATGTATTTTAGGGTTTAAAAGCCACTGGGATGTTATGTTTAAAAATTAAACGTCTCAGTTTCTCTGATACTCCCTCAGCATACGGAATGACCACTGGTCTGGGCCTGGGTTCCTCCTGTTCACCTGATGGCTGACTGGAGTCCTGTTTGGGTTACTTCTCTGCTTTCATGAAGGCCCAGTTAGGATATCCACATTGCTCTAGAGCCTGTCTTGTGTAGGATTTCTCCTTCTGCCTGGCTCTTGAGTTAGTGGTCATGCTGTCTGCTCTGTGATACAGAGTCCTGATGACTCCTAACTTGTGCTCCAAAGGATGATGGGAGTCAAACTGCAAATACTGGTCTGTGTGGGTGGGTTTGCGGTACGCCTCGGTTTGCAAATGTCCTCTATCAGAGACTGAGACCTCACAGTCCAAGAAAGCCAACTTGCCATGTTTTACATCTTCTCGTGTGAATTTGATGTATTTATCCACAGAGTTGATGTGGTCAGTAAAATGTTGGACTTCCTGAGATTTAATTTTAACCCAGGTGTCGTCAACATACCTGAACCAATTGCTTTTTGGTGTCCCTGAAAATGACGTCAAGGCTCTCTTTTCTACCTCCTCCATGTACAGGTTGGCAACAATAGGAGAAACTGGAGACCCCATAGCACACCCATGTTTCTGCCTATAATATTGCTCCCCATATGTGAAGTAGGTTGACTGCAGGCACAGTTTCAAGAGTTGACACAGTTGTTCTGTGGAAAGCGTGGTCCTGCTGCTCAGAGTGGTGTCTGATTTTAATCTTAAACTGACCACCTCTACTGCATCATCAACAGGAATGCACGTAAAGAGTGATGTGACATCAAAATAGACCATTGTTTCATCAGTCTCCATGATGACATCCCTCACCTTATCCACAAAGTCCATGGTGTTCTGTATGTGGTGTTCTGAGCTGCCAACTAAAGGGATGAGTACAGACGCCAGATAAGACAGAGTTAATCATACTAACAATTGGTCTTAAAGGTACACCTTGTTTGTGGATTTTAGGTAAACCATACAGA